GCCCTATTGGTTTGCATGACAATGAGGTTTGAGTCTCCTTGGATGCATAATGCCTTAATTCTCATATGCCTAGCAACGAATCAAGCCTAGGATTGAAGCTTCATATTGAACTTCATTGTTTACACTAGGAAAATCTAACTTAAACAACAAAGATATTACTTCTCCTTATGGTGGAGTAATCATTATACCAAAACCTCCTTTAGATACAATCAAAGAGCCAAAGAATTGCAATAACCATTACTTCTCAACTAATGCCACCAATATGGATTCCTTATAGAATTCAGTTGGGATGTCTTTAGAAAGAAATTCATCTATGGTAGAAGGGAATGGAGTAAGAAGATTTGTTAGTGCCCAAGATTTTATAGCCTTGAATGCCAAAACTTGCAAATCAAACTCTACCAAAAGAAGCAACCACATAGCTATCCTTCTGAAGGGCGAACCTTGAGAGAAAATATCTAATTGCATTAAACTTAATCATAAGATGCACTTTGTATGAGAGTAAATATTGTCCGAGCTTTTGAGTACCAACTACAAATGCCAAACAATGTTGCTCGATAGTCGGGTAATGAAAATCACTTTCATGCAAAGCTCAACTGGGATAGTAGATAAGTTTCTCAATACCATCAACCACTTGTGTGAGGAAAACACTAATAGATTTTTTAGTACAAGTGAGATACAAGAGCATTGGTTATCCTTTATTGGCATGGTCATAAAAGAAGGAGCAGCTAGAATTCCATTAATGAGTTGAAATGCCTCTTGTTGAGTTGGCCTTCATATAAATGGCATATTCTTCTTTAATAAAACATGGAATGGGATCAAGATTTCTGCCAATACAGGTATGAAATGTCTTACACATTTCCAATGAAGCTCTTCAATTTTTTTTTGTCTTTTACGAAGGCATAGATAGTATGGCATTTACCTTGGATGGATCAACATTAACCCTTTTTGGATACACCATAAAATCGAGAAAATTTCCTCTTAATACTCTAAAAGTGCATTTAAGTGGATTCATTCTCAACTTGAACTTGATACACCTCTTAAATACCATTTCGAATTGAGATAAATGAGTTTCCCTTCCTCTTGATTTTACAACTATGTCATCAACATAATCTTCCATGATGTCATCATATCATGGAAAAGTGTTAGCATAGTACGCTATTAAATTGCACCTACATTCTTTAATTTGAAAGGCATGACCGTATAATAAAAATTTCTCAATGTCGTGCGAAAGACTATCTTACAAACATCGAGTTCATACATCTTTATCCGATCGTAGCCACTAAAACCGTCAAGGAATGAAAATATATCATGACTAGTAGTTGTATCAATCAAAACATAAATGGTAGGAAGAGAAAGGTTATCCTTAGGGCATGCACTATTGAGATCATGAAAATCCACACATACTTTAACTATTCCATTCTTCTTGGTGATTGGGACAATATTGGAAAACTAAGTGGCATGTTGGATTGGCTTAATGAAATGAGCCTTCAACAACTTTTCAATTTCTCGCCTTGATTTTTATTTTTTTATTTTTCAAGAGCAAAAATACGAGGATGCCGCTTAACCAACCTAACCCCCGATTCAACATTTAACCTATGAGTGATAAGTTTAATGTTCAGCCTCAAGCATGTCTTCATAATTCCAAGCAAATACCTTCGAAAGTTTTTATCTTTCGGATCAAGGCATCCCTCTTTTCCGGTGATAGGTTTTGGCTAATAAAGATTAGCTTTAGTGATTCCTCTTCATTAGCCAAATTTACTTCTTCTAACTTCTCATCTTATGGCTTAGGAGTTTTCTAAAACTATTGAGTAAAATTTTTCTCAACATGAATGGGTAAAGAGTTAGAGCTTTTGCAGATCCTATTCGAGTACATAATACATGTAGTAAACCCTCATCATGTGACTTAGGTGGTATGTGGTTAGAAGGATTGTTCACTTCAAACCTCATAGACTATTATAAATGATAAATCCTCTTCCCTTAGGATATGGTATAAGAATCCGCTCGAACTCTACCATTTCTGCTACTTCTTCTTTTATCACCCCTATCAATGGCTTTAACCTTATCATCATACATCAATTTAGTAAAGATATTTATTGGCTTTCTAACCTTGTGATTTTCATCAACTGCAAGCTAATTGATAAATACTACTTCTACAAAGTGGTCTCATGGCTTTCAAAATGTGTCTTCACACTAGGGATGAAAATGTTCATTCCTCTCCAATATCCTTTCACACATTAATGTTTTGTTAAAAGGATCAAATTGCATTCATGGAGGAAAGGCCTTCCTATTAAATGGTAGGATGTAGGAATTTCAATAATATGGGAGTTGGGGGACCTATCCGAAAGTCTACTAACACATGCCCTCGGGTACGAAAATTAGCATTGTCAAAGCCTTTGATAGTAGTTGGACCTAGATCACATGTTTTTTTTTTTATCAATGCTCAACTCCCTTAAGATTGTGAGTGGCGTGATATTTAAAGATGAACAATTATCAATAAAAGTCTTGGGAATAAGGCTATCATTCACCTTGCTCTCCATATAAAGTGGAAGGTTGTGATTGATCTTTTCGACATAATAATCAACATCGGTGAAGAGCACATCATTCTCATGATTTCTTTCTATCTTTCTAACTAGATGGTTGGCTATAAAATACTCACAATACTAACTTTTAAAGATTTGCATGATGCTTCGTGGTAGTTGCTTATTTGGCTTCTTCATTAAACCCCAACAAATTGACAAAATTACAAAAGTTTGGAGTTTTTAACAATAATTAAACAATAGAGTTATCAACATCATCTACCTCCTCCATATAAGGTGTGGTGTAGTTGGGAAAAACTTGGTAGACTTACGTATCCAACTCCTCTTCTTCTAACTCACTAGGTCATAAGAGATAGCATTTGTCCGACCATTATGGCGATTCCGATGTTGTGGTAAAGGATCTTCCCGATTAACATCTTCATTATCAAGAATAACTTTCCCCTTATTAAGTTTATCATGGAAAATAAACCTCAAATAGCGGCAATCCTTTATTAGGTGGGTCATATGTCTATGATACCAACTTTGTCTTCTGAGAAGGTAGCTTCCTTACCCATGGTAATTTAATAGTCCGATCGACTCACCCATCGGTCTAAAATAGCATAGACCTTATCCATAGTGCTTGGAAAGCCGCCACTACCAACTTATGGGCTTGGATATCATATTTGTTGTGGGCGATTGAGTTGGTAATCGAATTGGTGTTTTTCTTGGTTGTCTTAGAAAGAGTCATTATTCTTCAAAATCACTAATTCTCTAATAAAGGAGCCAAAATATAGAAAAGGGTTCTTAAGAACTAATTAAACAACCGGTCGACAAGCCAATCAAGATACGGAGAGCTAATGTTGTGACTTGTAGAAGTAACGATCAACCAACCAAGTCGAAAAAATACAAACGAGTGAGAGGTGTGGGAGAGTCATTATTCTTCACAATCACTAATTCTCTAGTGGAGTAGCCAAAATGTATAAAGGGGTTCTTGAAAATTGATTAAACGACTAATCGATAGGCCGATCAAGATGCAGAGTGCTAGTGTTGTGACTTGTAAAAGTAACGGCAACCAACAAAATTGAAAGGATGCAAATAGTAAGAGGCATGGGAGGAGAAGTAAGCAATGCTAGAAGACACAATTTAGGTGGGTCGTCAAAGGCCAAACAGTTAGAGCTTTGGTTGTTGTCTCGTGTGTAAGTGGAAGAGTTTCAAGATGAAGAGTTTAAGTGTTTCTTTTGTTAAAGATAAAAAGTTCGAAGTCAAAAGTTCTACGATGCAAAAGTTCTAATATCCTTATAATGATATGAGGTTTGTCTTTATAGTGAAAGAAGATGATCCTTGACCGCCGATATCATGTCATTCAAATTTGAACGGTTAGATTTGACTTGAAAGATTTAGGTTCTTTAAACTTAACTATTTCAACTTACTAGCAAAGGCTTAAGAAAGTAACAATTAGATCTTTCTTTAACAGATCCTACCCCAAGCTCATCAAGTCAATCTCTTTAATATATCCTAAAAACAAGATATGGACACTAATACCCATTTCCATTCTTATAACCCAACACCTTGTGTTGAGTTAGGTCTATTATTAATTCAATTCATTTGTCATGTAATTTAAACCCATATCAAAATTAAAATAATAATAATAATAACATAAATTAGTATAAAATAAAAATTAACTAAATTAATTAATTAAAATACCGAGCATATCCAAGAGGATTTTGACAAACAATAAAAATTTGCAATCGTTGTATCTCTTACCTTCACAGAAAAGTGAAAGGCCGTTTTCCCCCTTCTACCCCCACGAATCAATGGACGTCATGCATCAAGTAGCCTTTCTAACAGTAGTGCTGCTACCAATGATGTTTCAGAAATTATTCTAGCCACAGGTATTCAGTAGACATTTCTCTCTGAAATCATGACCTTACCGTACCCCAATGTCTTTACCCGTCACAATTAGCATGAATATAAATCATTGGGATGGCACGAGGAGAATAAGTTAAATCCGAACAGAAGAATTTTGTATGGTCCCTTCCTCACTAGAGAATTACTAGGGGAATAAATTGAGTTCAAAATAGAAAAATTCTGTATAGTCACTAGAGAATTAAAAAAAAAATTAATTAAGTTATTACATCCAAGAAAACTATCTATTAATTCGATTGCTTCGATTATTTAGGACAAAAGCCAAAAGCATTCAGAAGACAAATAAAATGCGCATGACTGGATCATTTGCATAAGGAAAAATTATCAACCATAAAAATTGACTATTTTCTGAGCCTTCTCCGCATGAAAATTAGATTTAATTTCCTAAGTAAAACATGCATTGTCATGGAAAATAAGAATCAGTGACTAGAAAATTTACAGTACTTGCAGTCCCCATGCAAAAAATGATTCAAGAGATGCAAATCTAAAATCCCATCACAAGTTCCACTCGTATTGGGTTTCTGAAAGTGTACATGTTGGAAGAAAGATCTAGCCCCATCATCTTCTTCGCACAGCAGGACTGGGCCCGCGCTGGATTGCTCCAGCTGGTTGGGCACCTGATTGGCCAGTAGCTTGTTCCTCAGGGATATTCATTGCTTGGGTTATGGCATTCACCACTATGAGTCCAAGAGGGATCAGGTACATCCACTGAAAGAAAGGTAATGAGCGTCCATAGGTTTAAATTTTTCTTTCATACCATGAGTTTAAGCATCCATATATAAATATTTGCAGTATCAAGAAGACAATCAACGCGGGATATACTTACATATTTAGCCCAGAAGGACCTTTCTGGCAGTGGTACAGCTTCACCCTCTCCTTGTTCTCCCAGTGTATCCTCAGAAAATATTGGAGTTCTGAAGAAAGTATATACAGATAAATAAATACAGTTGTTTTGAGAAAATGTAAAGACAAGTATAAACAACAAATGCAAAAGCAAAGAGAGGCATTTTACACGATGGTAAGTGGTGGCAAATCCCTTAGTCTTTGTTTCTTTATTATTTCCAACTACATTAATGTTAGGACTATGCCAAATAATTATAACTTGATAAATATAGTGCAGAAATAGAAACAAGTACAAGTAAAGGAAGCGGGGGTTTGCTAGAAATAAAATCAGTCCCGAGGGTACACGAGTTTTGATTGACCCAACCCAGAACTTTGCACCAAAATTTGTCAACACAATGTGTGTCCGACTATTTCTTTTCATAATTAAGTGTTTTTGAACCACAGTTTAAGTTGATAAGAAACTCTGATTAGCTTCAGAATTTAGAAAGTTGACTGCAATAACATGGTGATAAATAGCATATTTAGCACAACAGAAGCAAATCAACCTTCCACCATTCAGGGTTCGCCTCAAACAATACCACAAAAAAATATTTATGCACCAATCTGAGGTATGTCTCAGAAATGCAGAGTGCAAAGAAAAATATGCAAACACTTAATTTTACCTCGGTGCCTGCTCACTATTCTTCAGAACTGTATGAGAGTTGAATGACCACTTTGCAGGCTAAAACAGAAAAGATGGAAACATCTGTATGAGAACTTATGCAACTGGAAAACTTAAGTATGCCCTCAAAACCTCCATCAATCCTCACATATTCCAAAGGTTCATTAAAATATTTCTCATCAGGACAAAATAACATGAAAAATGTGATCCACTATGAAAAGAATGCTTGGCAAACCTATGACTCTCAGCACACAGGGACTCAAAAAAAGTTGGAGGTGGGCAGTAAGGAACAAGCTGAGGTTGTCCCAAGGTGCAACTCGGAAGAAATATGTAAATATTAACTAGTTTTGTGGCAGGGAAGGAGAAGTACTCAAAATGGGACACTTGGATAGGCTATGACACAAACCATCAAGCATCTCCAAGATCTCTGTAGAAAGAAGCCACCAAAAACAGGGCCTAATTTCATAATCAATAAATATGAGAATGAAGATGCCACAAGTTGTATGGCCAAGAGGTCAGCATTTCAGCTGTCGATGTTTCAGATATTCAATAATGGTATTGAATTAGGAGGAAAAAAGTGGAAAGCAAAGAACTTTCCTTCAACTATATGCTTCCAATTCTGAGAATAACCTGATGCTTAAATTATGGTCTCACTAAAGTCTTATGTATATGTGAGCAATCTAGTTCCCTATAGTTTCCTTTAGTGGAAAGCAAAGAATTATGCTTGTGAGAATCTCTACCAGCAAAAGGAGAAAAGAATTCCAACTTACAAGTTTCATTTGCCGTGGATAGGGGCATGACCCAGGAGAACCATAATTAACAGCCAAGATATTAACACCTTCCTGCAACAAAGGATGAAATTTAGAATAAAAGTGAAATAAAGGAAATAACAAAAATTCAAGAGTTTATTACAATCACCAGTTTAAAAAGTTGTTCATTAGGCCTTCCCAATTTGAGTACTACTTCAACTTATTAGTACCTATGAATTCAATTCACACCTCAAGTATTTAACTAGTGTGAGCTCTCTCTCTTTTATTTTTCCTTTTTAATGCACTCTCTCTTCTTACTCTTCCTCTTTAATTAGCTCTCCTTCTTGTCTAACTGTCTGCACTATTCACCAGAACTGCAACTCCACATGAATTCATCACAGTTCTTCCTTCTTTCCAAGTTCTCCAAACATTCTCTCACAAGCATAACCCTATCAATAGCAGCACCCAACAATAGCATCCACAAATTTCCAAATCTCACCCATAAAGATGTTAGTTTCCTTGCTTCCCAAATGCTCAGCTCTTTTAACCCTCAAATAATATCAACTATAACCAATCTATGAACCCTAAAATGATGCAAAAGACTCACAAAGACCAACTTCAAAAATCAAACTTTTCTAATAATGCTATGAATTCCTTACACTAAAAGTGTGCTGATTATGAAACGCAGTTATACATTGCAGCTATATATATATATTCCTTTTGTTATGACAACTGAAGTGTGTGTTTAGAGCCCTAGTTTTCGGTACTGCAGTAACAAGATATGCATAGCATCTATTTCCACATACATCATGATTACCTCATATGATTGCATCATCATGAGAGGAGAATTAGTGACTTGCAAATCCCCAGATTAGGTTATCTTTTAAAGTATTCATATCTCCTCTGAGACTTAATTTTTTCTTTTCTTTTCTTTACCTTTGGCTGCTTATTTTTCATAAAACAAAATAATTTTATGAAGAGAAAACAAGGATGAAAGAACTAAAAGGTAAACATGCTTCTGATGGTGTAACCTGTCTCCCTCGGTGCCTAAGAGCACCCAATTTTACTAGGAGAATGACATTCTTCTAGGAAAAAAAATGAACTTGAAAGTAATCTAATCTCAAAGAGTAGCAGCTAAAGAAAGGAGCCAAAAGTGCCATTCTACCCCACAGAAAATTTTATGGACAGTCTTTGATACTTAATCCTAGCATTCGACTCAATCCAAACACACTGAATTGCAGCCAAAATTAATGCAAATAAGATCATGTGCAAACACAAGTGTATATTCACCAGCAAAGACTGAAAGCAAAAACAAATGATTATAAAGTCCAAGAATGTTTTAAAAAGACTGAATGTAATTACATACATGATTACTTCAAATGTGAAACATGTCATGGAAACAACTCCTGAAGAGAAAAGGCAAGCATGAATTGTAATCAAGGGAACTGAAGATTACCGTGTGTATAACAAAGAGCTCATCCAAGCCATCCCGTGGAAGACATCTCTGTATTGAAAGAAAAACAAGGGTTAGAGCTGTATTGAACTGTAATTTCCATCTGCATTAACATTAGATAAAGGAAGCAACTAAGCAAGGGCGTGCAGGATATGGAGCAAGTATCATATACACAGCTACTGTGGTTCCACATCCATATTAGCCAGCTCTAGTATCCTTCCCAGCTCCTTCAAACTAAGATTTGAAACTTTAAATTTAGCGTGAATTGATGCTAGTTATGCACAGGATTTAATTTCAAAGCATTTCATAGAGCAACATCAGACAGCACATAACTGAAAAAGAGGATAGCCAACTTTTAAGTTTGAGATTTCGGCTTAGTTGAGTTTAGATGAATTTCTTCATTTATAGAACCTTATGAAGCATTTAAAGTCTAGGTACAGTGTACATTATGTCTTCTACCTATTGAGCTATTCCAAGAGAAGAATCGTTTGTGTTGGTTTTGAATTTTAAACATTACAATTTCATGCTAAAAAGAACTTTGGTCACCTTAGGTAAAAAGTACAGGCCCTTTTTCTTCATTACTACTTATGATTTGAATCTTGATTTGAGATTCACTGAGAAATAGTATGGATAAGTAAATAACATATAATGACTTAGAAATTATACAAACAGGTAACATCACCACCTAGGAAATAAATGAAATCACAAGGAAAAAAGAAAGGAATAGCTAAAGAGATACATCTGAAAATACTGCATCGATAAAACTAATTCTTCATAACTTCTTTGATAAAACTCAGTTAAGGAAAAAATTCTAATGCATATTTTCTAGATTTCAGCAAAACAATGCAATTTAGAAAGTGAGTCAATATATCTACGTAATGATACTAATTCCAGTATATGAAGACACAAAAAAAGATAGAAAACAGTTAAAACTAGGAATTATTTAACATTAGAGAATGTAGTAAAAAAAAAGCAGTTAAAGGTCAAAGAAAGCTATTAGGGCTCTATATATCCACATCGCAAGCCAGAAGCCTTGAAAGGGTTCTAGACCCAATGAGGCAATATGCCATTTGCAGAACTAGACAAACATACATAAATAGAGAAGCTTACTACTTATGATTTGAATCTTTATATTTTTTTCTTGTTTTTCTTTTTACCACGCTTTTGGGGTTTGAGTGAAGCATATTCATTTGCCTTTAATTACATGCAAAGATAGGAAGATGGCAGATTTGAGTGTCTGCTAGAAACAAGGCCATTCGCTTTCTTTCACAATGATGGACCACCAACAGCAAAAAGAAATTTTCTTTTTTAAATTACAGCTCATGTAAAGCAAAGTATTAAGAAAGCAGCCATGGCTTGAGAGAGAGAGAGAGAGTACAGCTTTTGTGAGTCAGATATAAACTTAACGAAGCCGTGAAAAAGGAAACATGGCAACAGTGGAAGATGTGACTTGAAAACTTGAAACAGGGTTCATTTGAGTAGTCTGATGGTCTAAACCCAAATCAGTAATATCACCAAGCAAAACAACTACAGCAAATAAAAAAAGAAAGGACAATCAAAATCAGCAAATTCTGCATGTTATTGGGGGGTAAGGGGGAAGAATCAGAGACCAACAGGAGGAGAAACAAACAGTTTGGGGAAAAAAGCAAAGCAATGTTAAGTAATTAGAACAGAACCTTAATCTTTTTTTTCACATTCTCCTTCCTTTTCTTTCAGTGTGAGGTGCTGACTGGTTCTAGGTCCAGCAAGCCTTAAATCCAGCAATACTGGAATAAACATGACTTCTGCTATTTTTCTTTTTCTTTTTTTCCCAAGTGTTCGAGAAAGATAATATGGTAATCGTTAAATATATTGCTCTAATAAAGATTGAGGACTTCAAAAATAAATTAACGGAATAAAAAACAATAACAGAGGATTGAAAATTCATATCGACCCTCGCCTGATATGCCTAATGATCTAGGACAACCAGTCCACTGGGTTTCAAAAGATAGTATCTAAATAAAAAGGACGTTTGTTCTTTAATCAGAAAATACCAATCCCAAAAAACAAGAAAAGGGCCAATATGATAAGCTCAAGTGTCAACTCATCTCAATCGTTCATAAAGAGTAAAAATAGTAATTCCAAAATCATCCAAAAAGATTATAAAATCTTTACAAAGAAAAAAAATAATTTCGGGCAACTCACTGCTCTGACAGATGACATTACAAAGTCCTCTCCAGGAGAGTTCAAAACATTAGAAGGCAACCTTATACTGTAAAACTCATCATGCTCCAGCAGTTTCTGCAAAAAATAAAAATAAAAACCTCAAACAACTGGGAAAAAAGCTGAGTCGCGGAAGTACCAAAGCAAAAAACATTAAAAAAAATAATTGGTGAAGATGATGGGATTACTTGGAATTTCTGTTTCTCCACCTCCGTAAAAGCATTTCTTGAAAACCGAAGCTTTGTCAGCGTCTGCATCAGTTAAGCAATGGATTTGAGCTTGAAAACTCCCGAAATCTAGAAAATTAATATAAAATAATAAAAGAAGAAGAAGAGCAAACCTGGGCACCGTGACTCCAAGTTTTGAGGCGAGCAGAGAAGGTAGCAGCAGGGAAGAAATCGGTGTCACCAAAGGCGTGTTCAAGGGTTATTTGGATCTTTGAATCCGAATCTGAATCCGAATACTTCCTCCGGGTAGGAGTTGATCTGGTGGGAACCACCGGATCAGGGATTCGTTCTTTAGGTTGACGATTCCCTCCCTCGAGACCGAACTCTTCGTCGTCTACAAGAAGTTCATCGGATTGGAATGCATGGAGAGATGAGATTACGAGTAGCAGAGTGAATACTTGGAGTAATAGCTTTTTCTTCATTTTTTTTTTCTTCTTGCTTGCTTTGCTTGTGTGCGGAGAGACGGAGAGAAATAGAGCTGTGTGTTTGGTTATTTGAGTTTCGGTTGTTCCTGTGGTCTCTTATGTTGATGATGATTTTGGGCCTCTCGGAGTTGGAAAACTTTTAGGCCCTAATTTTCTAGTGATAGTTTTTTCTTGGGTTCATATGTTTTTTTTCGCCAGTACTGTCAAATAAAAATTATGAATGATGTTTTGAATTAAATCACGAAATAATATAATTATTACATCACATACGTTAGAGATGATTTCGGGAGATACGGGGATTTTCCATTAATAAAAACATTTTTTATAATTTTAACTTACTAATTTAGAGTTGATAAATATTGTGAGAGACCATATCTCACATTCTATAGTTAAACCAAACATGATTAATGTATAGAGTTGAAGCTTAATTTTTTTTTTTTTTGATATAACTCAATTTCAACTATCTAACTCTATAAAAACGATACAAAAATAAATATTAAGTATATATATATTGAATTTATTTTAACTTGATGCATAGTCCAAACCTAGATAATGGAAAGATAAATTTAATAAGAGATTTATTGTAAATATGGATTGATTAAGAAATATATTTGATTAAATATCCGTATATGATCGATTTTTCTTAAAATTAATTAAGCAACTTAATTAATTATTATTATGTGCTAATCTATGTCATTTTTATTAATTTTAGCATGAGTGTAAGTTACACAATAAATTGATCGAACTAAAAACAAGTCTCGCCCAATATAAGGTTTTGAGTCATAAGGATGAATACCGATATTCTAGTAGGACCGGCGTCCACGCCTTGTCATTTGGGAAGCATTAAAAAGATTGACTTGGTGGGCTTGATTCGAATCCACTAAAAAAAACTCAATTGTTATTTTCTTTAGCTCTGTACTAGTAAGTTGAAACAATTTAGCCCAAAGAACCTAAATCGTTCAAGTAAAATCGACCGTCTAAATTTGGATGACGTAGTGCATGATCTTAGCGAGTCAATAGTTATCTTCTTTCACTATAAATACCATTCTCACTTCATTGTGAGGAGATAAGAACTTTTGTATCGGAAAATTTTTTACTTCGAACTTTTGATCTTTAGGAAAAGAAACTCTTAAACTTTTTATCTTAAAACTTTTAAACTCACATACTAGAGAACACTTAAACCTCTATCTCGTTTGAATTTTGACTACCCATCGATAAGTCATACAACTTACATGTTGCTAGTATTGTCTACTTCTCCTCCCACGCAGGGATGGCAATGGATGGGTACTCGACCTATTAACTCAATTTTTTACCCTACCTATAAAAAAATACCCTATCTATTATCTATTAAGAAATCACTCTAAAAATTTTTATCCGGCTCATACCCTACCGACATTACTTCACCTGCTTATTTAGTACCTATTTAATACTAGATAAAAATAATTTATCAAAAAAATTTCATTTTTAGTCTTTGTAATTTTTGAGAAAGTTTTTTGGTCCTTAAATTTTAATTTTTTTACATTTTGGTCATTTCTTTATACTTTTTTGGTCCTCAAAGTTTTTTTTAAATTGGTCCTTAATTTTTAAAATTTATGCAATTAAATCTCTACATGTTTTTAAAAAATCAAAATAAATTAATGGGTATTGATAGAGTAAGGAGTGGGTACTCGTATCCCGAAACTATATTAGCATGTATGTATTTTTTTTATCTTTACTTATTTTAATACCCATTGGATAATTTTAATAGGTATTTATTGAGTCGGATAAAGTGGGCACCTACTTTATACCCGACCCATTACCATCTATACTCTCACTCCTCTTAATATTTGCATATTTTCTCGCTTGGTTTGTTGTCAATTACTTCATAAGTCATAACGGTAGTTTTCTATAACATGATTGCCCTACTAACCGGTCATCGATCGGTTCTCCATAACCCCTTTTGTAACTCTCGTGGCCTAGAAGTGAGACCAAGAGTGTTACTGCACCGCCTTATGCTCGATTATGCAAAGCGATGCCACTATGTCCTATACCTTAGATTTTTATCACAACTCGTAGTAGAATCCTCATTCGACTTAATGTTTAAGGCATCCTTAGTTTAACATATTATAGTCCACAAGTTTGACACAACTCAAACCCATTTCTTAAGCTTCAAACCCTTATGCTTATATAAATCAACACAAGTTCATAAACCTAAAACCATTTCATAACTTTCAATCCCATATATATATAATAACTTATCAACATTTCTATAAACAACATACGTTTAAAAATCATAAGTGGTCAAACCTAGGTAACACAAACGTAACCGAACCTAGGCATGGTTTAGTCTTTAAACTTTAAACCTAGACACGACTCTATACCTCTCGGCTAGCATCCTCGATGCAACAACATGTCATCAAGCATCACTTTGTTCACCTACACCATAAGACAAACGAGTGAGTTAAAGTCGACTAAATGTAACCTTGCTCGAATACGAGAAAAATCATCATTTCATGCATGAAATTCATTTTCCTCTTTTGAACATATCTTGCTTGAATGTATATATATCCAACCCTCATTTAAAACCATCATTATGAAAACCATAAAAGCACTTAGACATATTCGATAAACCTCACAAAGAGTTTATTGTTTCCTTTGTCCCTCTTGAACATGTCTAGCCATGAGCTTTGTGTGTTCTTTTAAAAACATAAACATGTCATTTCCTTCGATGTATGTAATCATCACCAAAATATTTCAATGGTGTGAATACACTTAAAACACAAACACGAAGTAAATACATGAACATGAACCAAGTGACATCAAGTAATTCATGAACACGACCTAAATGACATCAAGATTAAAAACATAACACGAACATTAGTCCATGTCATACAAAGTAAACATATAAACCGAACCCTTCGTGTAACATCACAAGTATCCATCAACCACATAAATGTAAAACCAAATAACCTTAATTAAATATCTAACCAAGGCCATCAAGCTTCTTCACAATCATTCAATCATCAAAGCTAAGTAACAAAAAAGAACCACCTAAACCAAAACCAACAAGTAATACCTAATCCGAGTTCATCAAGTTATACCATAATCATTCAATCAATTAGCAAAACCAAGTAACAATAAGTGTACACCTAACCCGAATGCATCAAGTTTCCTCACAATCATTCAATCATCAAGTACATTCATAAATTTAACAACAAGTATATCCATAAACTTAACATCTAAAGAACATCTACATCATAAGTTGTAAATCGCCAAACAAAGTCATCAAAGCACTTGTAAAATCATCAATTAATTACATAATAACAAACCCTAAAACCTCCAGGTCTTGTATTGAATGATCATGCATCTTATGAAGGTATGGAATAAAACAAAAATTTCCTCCATCTAAAGAGTTCAAGATCATGCTTCTTGAATCAACTAATCATACATTCATGAATTAAAGCGATGAATAGAGAATTACCTTTTGTAATAGAAATTTAAATTCTTTAGTAGAGAAAGGAGCCATCCAAGCATCTAGCTTCATTAGTTATCCACGTAGTTCAAACAACCACAAAGAACCACTTAAAATTAGTAGAGTGCTAGCTCTATTTTTTCGATTTATCTTCTTCTAACATAAACATCTATTTTTTCGTACACTTATGACCAAGTGTATATAATTTATCACAAAAATAACATTGTCTCCTTAAACTAATTTTATCTAGTTCCTTATCGCTAGGCAACTTTCTCGCTTTCAAATATAAAATTATCATTATGAAATTGAGTTAGGAATGATAGTAAACCCTTTTGATTGTTAATGAAATTATTGTTGTAATTCATCCGAGAATTTAGGCTTACAAGGTTTGAGGGTTTGTAAAAATTTATTAGATTGATTTTTTGGTTAAACATGAAAACATCGGGACTTGATTTTTATTAAACATGAAATGAATTTTGATATTGAATCTGTTGGAGTTGTGTTGTATATTAGGATTTGTTTCTTAAAGTTTGGCTAAAACAAGCTGCTTCTTTGAGGGTTTTTGGTATTATAATCTTTACTAGAATTTGTAGTTCTAGTTTTAGACTACTAATGAAACAACTGATAATATAATTCTTAAGTAAAATCAGTTTTTTTTACAACATAAATGAATTTCTTAAGGAAGAATTAGACATCATTTACTTGTTTTAACCTTATCCATTTAGCCAAAGAATCATTAAGCACCATAATTCCAAGGTTTATACTCATGGCACCAATGAAATCTTCCCATTTAATCACAACATAAATGCCATGCATCCTAAAAAATACCCAATGTCATTCCAAAGCTTCTTCTTTTAAATGAATAACAATCAAATTTATCTTAGCATCCTCATGAATCCTATCAATAATGAAAAATTTCTCATACTTGAAAGTCTATCCTTAAAATCTTATCTAGAAAATTGCAAAAATTCTACTTTTTTCATTATGGTACTGGACTGATATTCCAAATTATCCCCTAAATATCCATTATTCATTAGGTTTTGTACGTATCAAGACCTCGTACAATTCAAAAAATTTTATTGAGACCACTATGTTTTTTTTTCGTCCAATTTAAGAGCTTTACTCTTATGTTGTTATTATTTCGGACCCTTAATATGCCATGTAGGCATACGTGGCAACCTCTAACCAATGACGACTTACCACGTGTCATGGTGGGCCCAAATTGGGTGATTATATTAATGACACAGTAAGCTATCATTGATTAGGGTATGAAACAACAACAACATAAAAGTAAAATTTTAAATTGGATAAAAAAAATAGGATCTCAATCAAAAAAATCTAAATTGTACAAGGTCTCAATATGCGTAAAATCCATTATTCATTAATCTAACATGCATCCCACTAACAAGGTACCTATACCTAGGAACTTGATAACTATCCTCATTCATATTTCCTAATCCATCATTACAATTAACATTCATTCTAATAGGAATTGCACCATCAACCGGACTCTTAAGTCCATTCATCATTTCTTTTAACTCATTAA